ATCTCGGCTACATCTCGGCTATATCTCGGCTACATCTCGGCTACATCTCGCAGCCGCGAGCGTGGCAGGCTCGGCGTCTCCGACGGCGGCGAAGTGCCAGGCTGGCCGGCGGCGCTCCAGTACCTTCTCGACCAGGAGGGCGAGCCGCTCGCGCAGGCTGGACTTACCCGAGACGCGTGCCCAGTAAGTCAAGATGTGGACCAGCGTTTATTTGAACGAGATCGGTGTCGAAACACCGCTCTGACAGCGCTCAGCAGCTGCGCCGGGGCAGCTGCGCGGGGGGTGAAAGGGGGAGGAGGAGGGAGGCGGCCGGTGAGGCACGCCCGCGACGCGTCCGTGACACGTCCGGTGTCTGGTCCCCCAAGGCGCTGCGGGAGGAGAGGTAATCTCGGGTAATCTCGGGTAATCTCGGGTAATCTCGCGTAATCTCGGGTAATCTCGCCCCCCAAGGCGCTGCGGGAGGAGGGCGGCGACGCGCTGCTGGCGGGCAAGGGCGAGGCGGCGGCGCTGCTCGGGGCTGCGCCGCCACGCAGGGAGGCCGACACGTGCGACAGCGAGGCGGCCTCGCACCCCCCTCCCCGCGGCCCGCCGCCGCAGCCAGCGCCAGAGGGTGGCGGCGCGGCGAGCGCGCTGCTGCTCGTGTCTGCAGCGCGCTCCGACACGCTCGTCCTCAAGCTGCTCTGCGCGTTTGGAGTCGGGTACCGCGCCTTGCGCCGGCGGCCAGACGCGGCGGCGCTGGCGGCGGCTCTTGCAGCGGCCACGCGGCGCGGCGAGGAGGGGAGAGGGGAAGGGAGAGGAGCGGAGCGGGCGGCGCTGGCGGAGCGGGCGGCGCTGGCTGCTCGCGCGCACGGCAGGCTCGCGCAATCTCGCGCAATCTCGCGTAATCTCGCGTGTCTCGGGTTTTCTCGGGTGATCTCGGGTAACCTCGCGTAATCTCGCGTATCTCGGGCAATCTCGGGTACTCTCGGGTAACCTCGGGTAATCTCGCGCGCACGGCAGGCTCGCGCGGCTGCACTGGGGCGACCCGCCCGACGCTGGGGGGGTGACAGCCGCGCATGTGGCCGCCTTCCTGCTGGAGGAGGAGGCGAGACCCAGCCGAGACCCAGCCGAGATACAGCCGAGACCCAGCCGAGATACAGCCGAGAGAATACAGCCGAGAGAATACAGCCGAGAGAATACAGCCGAGAGAATACAGCCGAGAGGCGTCCGCCCCTCCTCTTTTCGCCCAGGCGCTCGCGGCGATGATGCTCGCCGACCCGCGCGTGGCAGAGGCGCTGGACCAGGTGTCCCCACTATCTCCCCACATCTCCCCACATCTCCCCAGATCTCGTGGCCGAGGCGCTGGACCAGGTGTCCCCGCCCGCCGTGCAGTGTGAGGAATTACACTGGACAGGACACTCCACGGGGAGATGTGTGGGGAGGTGTGGGGAGGTGTGGGGAGGTGCGGGGAGGTGGGGAGAGGTGGGGAGGTGTGGGGAGGTGTGGGGAGGTGTGGGGAGGACAGGACACTCCGTGCCGGGCGGTACACGCGCCGGTAGAAACCGCCATCCGTAGAGGCCGACACCCGCCCGAAAGGCAAACCAGTGTGTGCCGTGTGGGGCTCCTGCCTGTCTGCGGATGTGGAGACGAGAGGAGAGTAGCCTGGCCCCCGCCCCACCGCTATGTGCGTGTGGAGAGGTGCGCCACGCCTTCGCCCTTCCTAAACGCAGGCAGGCCGCACGCCTCTGCACTACGCCTGCCACGGCTCGGAGCGGCTCCACGCCCTCGTCTACCTCTTCACGCCGCAGCCCTTCCCCACCTGGCTCCAAACCCGCTCGCGGTCGCGCCTCAACTTCGCTTTGCCGCAGACGCTCGGCAACCTGACAGCCGAGCTCGCACACGCGCAACTCTGGAACCTTCTAGGAACCTTCTGGGAACCTTCTAGGCAACCTGACAGCCGAGCTCGCCGACGCTCAGCTCGCGACGATCGACGCCTTGCTCGCCGGCGGAGCAGACCCGACGGCGGCGGACCCTAGAAGCGGAAGACGCGCTCTAGTTTCCAACGAAGGCTCGGGCGGACACGTATTCCGCTGCGTTCTGCTGCACTCTGCTGCATTCCGCTGCTTCCAAAGTATTCGTAGCCCGTGTATCCACGCGGTGGTAGTGAATGCAACGCATGAGGACCGTGCCCCACCCCCGACTTCGGTGTTGGTTTAGGCGACGGATGCGCGCGGCGTCGCACCTCTGGCACTCGCCGCAGCCGGAGGAGCGCCGGCCAAGGTGAAGAAGTAGACACCGCGGGAAGAGAGGGAGAGTCGGGTGTGGGCGCGTCTGCCCGCCCGGCGGCGGTGGGGTAGTGATCGCCGGGTGGCG